AGGGGTTGGCAGGGCCCTCTGTGGGTCACCCAGCCCAACCCCCTGCCCAAGCAGGGTCACCCAGAGCAGGCTGCACAGCACCGCGTCCAGGCGGGGCTGGAATATCTCCAGAGAAGGAGACTCCACAGCCTCCCTGGGCAGCCTGGGCCAGGGCTCCGTCACCCTCAGAGGGAAGAAGTTCTTCCTCCAGCCTGAAAGAGTAGGTGACAGGTATCGCAATTAATCGTGGTTCGCTGATGAAGGCAGGAAAATACATCTTATGTGTTTGTCCTCAAAGATCAGATGGCAAAGGCCTTTGTTCAGAGGGGTTGGTGCAGGAGCTGGAAGCAAAGCTGTGGGAAACACGCTGTGCCCTCCCGTGGTGGCACTGACGGCGCTGTGAAAAATCCTGCGCGTTTTTCTCCTCAGGTTTTTCCATCTCCACAGTCTGCAGGAGGCCACGACAGGAGAGTGGAGTCACCTACGGGGAGCTGCGTGGTTATGTCAAACAGTATTTTTAGTTAAAGATGGTGCATCCAGGTGAAAAATGTTTTATTTGAAATGAATGAAGTTAGTTTAAGACCGAAATTGTTCGAGATACCATGTTTGTTTACAGTTTATTCCGTTCTTTATCTGTACTTGATGCTGCCCCGACAGTATCATTTGGTAGTCGCTTCTTCTCTTGATGGTTGTAGTGACACCATGGTATGCACCACTTCAAAAGTGTTATCTTCCGTGCCGTAGAGCTTGCATTTCTTCTGCATTTAGTGATTTGTTCTGCTTACTGATTTTTGTCAGTTAAACTTGTTGAGGGGAGCTGGAGGAGGAAGCCATTGAGTGGATTCTTCCCTAGAGTAGCTGGAACATGGAGGTAAATGTCCGTGCTGAATTAGGACTAGCAAATTATGACAGCCTTATTAATAGCTGCCAGTTTGTGGGCTGACATTGTAGGGCAGTGCCACTCAGAGTCAGCCGTGGTCGCTGACGGTCGGGACGCCGCTCGTGGGGTTGCTGCCGGGGATGAAGTGTGATCGTATATTGTGAAATAGTGTGTGTTGGGTGCATGTGGGCAACTCCCAGGGGAGGGTACGGATTTAGTAATGTCTACTAGCTATGAACATAAACTACAGATAGAATATTTATATTATTTCACTCTTTTTTTGCCTTTATTAGACAGTTTTTGAATAACAAAGATAAAATGCTTGCTTTAAATACCATACCTTTGCTTTTTATTACACGTTGTAAAAAAAAAAAAAGCAATCCAAAAATGTGAATTAATCTTCCTTCTCATACCATTTGTATGAAAACCGTGCAATCCATTTAAGTACTGTGTTCAATCTGCTGAAGGGTAGCTTGTAAGTAAAGGTGGTTTTCATTAACTGAAACTTTGTTTTTTGAATCAGGTATTCAGAATTGCTAGAGACGGTCAGTAAAGGAGGGGGAGAAAATGCCATCTTGCGTCATACTCAGAGAAACAAGAAGCTGTTTGTTCGTGAGCGCCTGAAGTTGCTACTTGATGATGAGTCTTTCCTTGAGCTGTCTCCGCTGGCAGGCCTCAACCTGCCGTACGGTGACGTCCCTGCTGCCGGGTGCCTTACTGGTGATTGCTAGCAAACGTAGTGCTGGGTGTAACGGGAACTTGGTGAAGTGGTCTTTTCCAACCTTAATGGTTCTGTGATTTCATTGCTCAGATCTTTAAATAGGATTCGTATTAGACCTAAAGATGGATATGGGTTGAGGGTGTTGTTTTGAGCGGCCCATGTCGGGGACGCAGCGCGGAAGGAAGAAGGGGCTTGAAGCAGCGTGGTCCTTAGTACAATTGGAGAGGTGCTGTGTGGGTGCAGGGATGGATGGGCAGCGTACTTCAGTTGTTCTGCATGTGCTGCACACCTTCCCAGAGTAAGCAGCCTTGCTCACTGAGGTAAGGTGTTTGCTCTTACTGGGAAAGGAAAAAGGATGCCTGTAATAAGGTTTATGGCACATTTTAGTATCTGCTTTTATCCAGTAGCAGCTCCCAGCATGGCAGAGGCCAGCAGCAGCTGTGTTATTCTGCTGCAATTTTTGCTGGGAGATCTGGAAGAAACCTTTAAAGAAGAAAAGTTCTTTCGTTGCTTCTAGATCCAGTAATTTATTCTGCCTACCAGTTACCGATTTTTGTCTCAAAAAATTTAGGATGATGTGTCAAATAAGCTGTTGTCTGTTAAAGGAGAGGGGACGAAGTGACTGTGAGATGCAGGAGCTGTGATGTTTATTTTGTGATATTTTTCAAATTATAGACAAGTCTTTTCATTGCATTTTGAAGAGC